TGGTTTGATCAGGGCTCTGAGATCATCTGAGTAGTAATTTTTAAGACCCAATGATAAGAAAATAAATTTAGAAAAAAATTTAAATTAAATGATTTTAATATATTGCTGCTGAAGTGAGCATGAAATGAAGTGAATTTAAAGATAAATTAAAAGGAAAGAGTTGAATCTGCTGCCCTTGAGGATAGATCCAGGGGAGTTCTTTGTTCTTCCAATTAATATTGCTAAGGTGCAGTATACTGGAAAGAGCTTCAGCTCTGACATAATTCTAGCTCAAATTCCAGTCCATCACTTACTTGCTATGAAACCTCAGGTAAACCATTTATTTGTTCTTGCAGAAATTCTCTCTCCTCTTTTATCAAATGAGGATCATAATGCCTACTTCTTAAGATTCTTCTACTTCGATTATCATTAATCAAAGTAACGTAAATGCAGGGCTTTGCATGTAGGGCACTTAATAAATATTCGTTCTCTTCACATTTTCTTCCACAGAAGTCAGTAAACACTGCAATATGATCTTCCCCTCAGATTTTGCATTTAATGAACAGCTCCCCCCCCCCCTCTGTCTTTCCCTCCCACTGAAAAATTTACATCACTTCCCACCTCAACCCTGTAGCAGACAGTCCTATAGCTTTCTACTCCCTGAATTCCCATTGTGAAATCAGGACATCAATAGTAATGTGCTTCTTTTCACTTTTGTTTGGCTCTTTACTTGGTAAGTAATGAGGTTGTTGTGATTCTAGGATCTCTGAGATAAGAAATGTCCTTTATAGTCATACCTTTTAGGAAACACATTTTTTGAAAAAAGCAAAGTGAGTCACTCATTGTGAACTCCGTGTATATATGTGTATGTGTGCCTGTAATTCCAGCGCTCTGGTAGGCTAAGGCACAAGAATCAAAAGTTTGAGCCCAGACCAGGCAACTTAGTCACTTACTTGGACCATATTCCAAAATAAACATTTTAAAAGGGCTGGGATGTCACTTGGTGCACAGGCCCTGGGTTCAATCCCCAGTAAATCTCCCTCCCCCCAACACACATACATAAAGAAGCAGAATGAGAAAGTTGATTGCCCCAGAGCTGAAATCAGTGTGCCATATCTGGCTATCCAAGGACACAGTACAGGAAAGGAGCTGTGTGAGCACTTGGCACCATTAATTTTTTTCTTATTCTCTTAATAAATTCCCTCATTGTTTTAGTGACTTTTTAGTTAATTTTTTTTTTTCTAGTGAGACTAGGTTAACTATAATCATCTGACATGGAAAAGAAGGAGGTAAGGTTTAAAAGGGACCTAATTAGCAAGTTAATTATAGCAGGCAAAAAAGTACACTAGTTATATAAATAAGCTATTGTACGCTCATGCAAGTTGGGCCTTGTCGAGGGACTTGTTAAGGTTTAGAGGTCAGAGTATCTAATTAGGTAATTAGGTGTTTAGGAAAAAAACAATAATAAAAGCAAAACAGCTACCAAAATTAGGAATGGTTGATGGGCCACTAACAGAACTGCCTTATTAAATTAGGACTCTGCTGTTGAAGGGGTTGTTGGAACTGCTTCAGAGATTTCAACGAAGGATAGCCCCCCCCCCTTCAAAAAAGAAAAAAGAAAGAAAGAAAGAAAAAAATCTAGCTGGAACCAGAGCCAACAGAATTGCTGATGAGGAAAGTTTAAAGGCCTGGCCACAAGGGTCCTTGGATCAAAGAGGTGGCAGTGGGGCTGGTAATGTCACTATGCTCAGCAGCAAGAAGAAATACATTGTCAATGGCAACTCTGGGATTAAAGCCCAGGTGAGGCTAAGCTCTTACTTACCAGTCTTGCTGCTGTGGCTATTATCGTCCAAGGCCAGCTGCTTATACTGTCCTTCCCCCATCCTGCTTTCATTTTTCCCTGTGGCTCATGGCGAGCTGTCCCCCTCAGTACCTTTCCCTTTCTTGCTTTGATTCCTTTTGGAATTAGGCAGTGCTTTCTGAGATGGAAAAGGAATCTTACCTGAAAGGACTCTGGTTTCAGACAAGGTAGGAAAGTCAGGGGTAGAATTTGTCAAGGTATCACGATTGGGGTAAGCAATATTACAAAATGGACTGTTGAGTGAAGAATATAATGGTATTTAACTACTGAAGGATGGTGGGCACCAGGAATAATTCACTTAACTCATTTTCTGGTTATCAATGAAAGGTAAACATTTCTTAGGAAAATTGTATAACTTACTATTTGTAAGTTATTAGTCTCTCTATTGTTCTGTCTTAAAGAAACTTTAATTCATTGTCTAACCAGTAAGCAAGAACCTTATGTTTCAAGCACAGTGAGCCTCCATAGCCTGTTCTTTACTGTCGAAAGATAGCCTGAAATTGTCTTGAGTGAAGGGATTATATTAAGTGGAACAGACCATAGAGAAAAGAACTCAGCCTAAGGCCGTGGTGACAGACCTATGGCACACATACCACCGTGGACTATTTGTAATTTGAATGCTCTGATAGGTTTGCCATCACTGACTTAGGGAAACTAGTTTGAGATGGCAATGCACGTATTTATTTGGCTTGGAATTACTGGAGTAAATAGATATGGACTCACTGTATTCCTACAAATATAGAGAATGAAAGTGGCCCCCTCTAGCGGCATATGTATATGTGCACATGTGTGTGCATGTGTGATTTTGTGCTAGGTGTTTGGGGTGTATTCTATATTGAGGACAGGGTTTGTCTGGGGACTTTTTTTAAGGAGGCACTGCTGAAGTTCATGACTTAATGTGGCCTTTGGAAAGTCAATTGTTGTTCTTTTCTTAGAATAAGGACATGTGACTATAGTAAACAAGGTTGGAGAAATGAACTCCAGTTTTGAGCCTGTCTGCTATCCACCTCCCCAGCTTTTCACCCTGTTCTTCACCTTTCCATGTTTTCCTACCTTTAAAAATTACTTTAACTTTAGATTTGGCTTAGGATTGATATGTTTACGGAATATTTAACCAAACACAAACTTAAAATAGAATAAGCAACTTCAGGTTCATCAATTCAGCACATGATTGCCTAGGATATGCAAGACCTTTGTGTCTAAGGGTATAAGGCAAGTAAGGTACTTCCTCTGCCTTCATGGAGCTTATAATGTATACAGAGTAAGGCAGGTAGACAGATGGCTATATTCTGTTATGAATTCTGTACTAGGAAAAGCACATGACAGTTCATGTGCATCCCATGAGAGTGCATAAAAATGTTCTTTTTGTAATAAATTGCTACTTTAGCACAATAATCAAATTTGTCATTTTTCATTTTTCAGTGAGCTTCTAATCCAATGAATTTCTCTATTGCTGAAAATAACTTGCACACTCTGAAGCACTAGGCAGATCTTGTTTGTTGTTATGGCTATGGAGATGCTGTGATTGTCCCTAAGAGGCAGTAAATGCTAAGCTAATTTAATTTGGCTTTGATCCCCTTTTTTTCAGTATTCGAATGGTGCAGAAGCTACCTCTAACTGCAGAAAGTGTAGCTATGAGCTGCTGCTTTCATCTTGGTGTGCAATATTGTTGTTTTATCCATTAAAGATCCATCTTTTTATCACTGAAAATGTAACTAGTCAGATCTTTATCCTTTTCAGACCTTGAGCCACCTTCACTCTAGAAGACTAATCTAAACAGTTATGTATTCACAGTTAGGGAAAAAGAAAAAGTAATCAACTCAATAAATGATGTGACTTTGATTTTGTTTTGTTTGTTGTATTTTTTTGAGATAGGATCTTGTTATATAGTTCAGGTTGGCTTTGAACTCACTTTGTAACCCAGGCTGATCTCGAACTCACAACGATCCTCCTGCCTCAACCTCCTGAGTTCTGGGATTACAGGCATGCACCACCATGCCTAGCTTGATTTATAAATTATTATATAGTGTCAGCTGGGAACCTTCAGCTGCAGGAGATAGAGATAAATTGCAAGAAAGTCTTTATGAAATATTGTCCAACTGAAGCCTACAGGATATGACCTGAGTCATCCACTCTTTCTATAATTGTTATGTTATAGTTCATAAGTGAGTTTATGGTTTCTAGGTATTTTATAATACCAAACATAAAAGTAATGAATTTTTATTTATTTGCTAATTACAAAAGTAGCTAATATATTTTAGAAAGTCTTTAATAAAATGGCTACCTATAGGAGTTATAAGAACACTGAAGTGCAAGGGAAAGGATAGGAAGTGAATTGACTCTCCTCCTGTGTTTTATCATTTATGTGCATTGTTTCATCGAACTCTCTCCAAAACCTGTGAGCTAAGTGTTTTTCTCTTTGTTGTATTTACAAGAAAGTGATGCTTACTTGATTAACTTCAAACAGCTCTGAGTGGTATAACCAGGATTTTGGTGCAATTCCACAACGTTCTGTCTGCATGAAAAGCCATTTTCCAAATTAATACACCAAACCATTTCCTAAGAATCTTGTGTTGTTGTTTGATACTAGAAATCGAACTCAGAATCTTGCATTTGCCAGGCAAATGTTGTGCCACTGAGCTATATCCCTGGCCCTACTAAGGTATGAAACCATACCTTGCCGTTCTCTCTTCTACATATATGAAGGTTATGGATGTACATACATTCTCAAAGATTCTTTCCAACCTTATTTTGTGAAACTACACAAAGGTTTTCTGAATGTGATTGAATGTCTTAAAAATTAATTAAAACTAAAGCATCTCTTTCTCCTTTTTTGTTACAATTTTATTATAAAAAGGATAGATTTAAATCGAATAGAAACAGAAGGTGGAGAATGAAGAGTTACTCTTCTCTCTGAGGAGTCTTTTTAGAACCGGGGATCGAATCGAACTCAGGCCCTTGCGCTTGCCAGGGAAGCGCTTAATTCTACTGCACCATCTCCTGGCCCCCCATCCGAGGAGTCTTAGTATTCCAAATATGGGTTGGTAATTCAGATCAACTGCGTGGGAAAATAAAAGCCTGTAGTAATGCAGGCTTTTAGTTAATGCCTCAAAATTGAAGTTCTTTTCCTTTAAATAACTAGATTTCTTTTTCTTAGCAGATCCAGTTTGCTGACCAAAAGCAAGAATTTAACAAACGTCCCACCAAAATTGGACGTCGTTCTCTGTCTCGATCCATTTCTCAGTCATCCACTGACAGCTACAGCTCAGGTGAGTAATGAGTTGTCACCTTTCAAGACTAAAATGTGTGATCAACAGACTCCCATCTGTCCAAGGCTAATCATGCTTGATTAAGTCTTTGCCTTGAAAGCCAAAAGTCTTTGAGTCAAAATTTAAACCAGAACCCTGAATAGAACCTTTGGCTTCTCTTGGGCATTCAGAGTAGAGGTGAATGGAGGCCTTCTCTTCCAAGAGAGGCAGAAGATGATTGAGGAAATTGAGTTCTTTGATCTACTCAGGATAGGAGTATGTAATTCACTGATGACCTTCACTGAACAACATGTATAAAGACATTTTTTCTATCCTTTGAAAATAAAAAGGAAGTTCCCATTTCTCCATCTGGTACTTGTAAATTAATGGGGAAAATTCAGTTGCTCCTAGAAACAAAGAAGACATTGTAGCTATTTCAAGCAAGCATACCCTCTGCCTTCTCTGCAAAGCCATAACATTGTATTGCTTTTCACTCCTTCCTCTGCTGTGGCATTAATTAAAATACATGTGCCCTGGGAATGAGTTATCATTTAATGTCCTATGAACTATTACTGTGTGGGACCCCTTGAAGGCACTATGTTCCTATTCAGTATGAGTCTGATCTAATATGGTGCCATTTCATTTTGCTCTTGTGTTAGAATGAAGTAGAGCCCAGGGTTTGCCTTGGTTACCTGTACACATTTTAAATAGTAATATTCATTTTAAAAGTTTTATGATGACTTGAAATTTTATTTGTTCTTTACACAAATAGGAAATAAGTATTTGTTGAAGAAAGATTGTTTAAATTTGGGTATGGTGCCATAGTGCCTGTATTTCTAACACTTAAGAGTCCAAGGCAAGAGGATCGCAGCAAGTTCAAGGCCAGCCTGGGCTACAGTGTGGGTTCAAGGTCAGCCTGAACTACAGAGGACAAAAAAGAACAATTGTTTAAGAAACAATAGCTTTTTTTTTCTTGTTACTTTTCCACTTCTTCTTCTTCTTCTTTTTTTTTTTTCCATAATTTTATTGAGAAACAAATAGCAATGAGACAGTGTCAAACCAAATTGGTAGGACAGTTTCAGTAATTAACACATTGCATACATTCTTCCTAGTGGTTAATTGCTGTACAAGATGCGGACATGATATCCTATTTACAAACACTATTGGAACAAATCTCTCTATTCATTAAGAGAATGTAACTATATATCTATCCTAACCATTTTGAATACACAGATAAAAAATGGACATTTATCTGTATCCCCTTTTTTTGTCAAGTTCCGTTATTTGAATATTATAGGTGTGTTAACTCAGCAAAATATTCTAAAAGAATCCAGTAGTCCATAATAGTATTGGGTCTTCTGCTTCACTAGCAAATGTCAGAAATTGTTGACATGCGCCCCCTATAGCTCAACATAACAGCATGGCTTTATTTCTTATACTTTGGTTTTATACTTTTCTGCTGGATGGTTAAGACCAAGGTAAAGCAGGACCTATGCAACAAGAGTTGTAGCTTTTGGGTCTGATAAGGTCAGTGAAATCCCCTCAGGAAGCAATAGCTTTTAGCTTAAGTAGATTAGATTGTTATTTACCAATTTTTATTTTCTCAGTGGAATAACTAAATGAAATAAGGTGTATGACATAATTCCTATAGATTTTTATTTAAAGATAGGGAATTTTATATCTGCCCTATTCTGGTGAAATAAACAGTGTTGAAAATTTATGAACCAGTTACAATAACTCTGAAAGCCATAATAACTGTAAAAACATGAATTGAACTTTTAGGTTCATGTGTTAGCATATGTTATCTAAAGATTAAGACTTAACAGTAGTGGGCTGGTGAGATGGCTCAGTGGTCTAAAGCACCTACTTAGAACAAGCTTAGCAAAGCACAGGGACCGCGGTTCAATTCCCCACCAGCACCACATGCCAGCCAGCCCCGCCCCCTGGTGGGCTGAGCTGGCCACACACACACACACACTAATAAAATAAATTAAAAAAAAAATACTTAACAGTAGTGATACTAAATTTTAACTCAAGTTCAATCTGTTCCCTACACAACTAGATCCATGTATCCGACCAACTGTGTTCCTAAAGAGGAAACCAATGCCTTACTACCCAAGCCTCCTATGTAGGAAGAGTACTTATAAAATATCCCTGTACCTAGAATAATGTGAGTGATGCCCTTGACTTCTAAGTGAGCACGTAGTTGCCTAGACCTTTTAGGTAGAACCATATGAAATTTCCATTTTTAGCTAGGTATGTTGGAACACCTTTGTATTCAGCTACTCAGGAGGCCTCTGAGGTAGGAAAACCAGAAGTTCATGGCCAGCCTAGGCAATTTAATGAGACCTTGACCCAAACATTGCTAGGAGTATAGCCCAGTGGTAGAGTGCCCCCCTGTGAGAGGGTGGAAGGTAGAGAAGGAAAACAAGAAAGAAGGGGAGGAGACAAATAAGAGAAAAGAAAAGAAAGGCAGTTATCCATTTTTATGTCAGAATTATTGACCTAATATATCTACTTCAGGATATTAGATTTAGCAGTGGGCGTCAAAACAGCCTGGTAGGGCTGAGAAGATAACTCAGTGATCTAAGCACCCGCCAGCCAAGCACAAGGAACCAGGTTCGATCCCCAGTACTATATGCTGTGCTAGCCTTGGAACCCAGGTGCAACATGCCAGCCCCAAAACTGGGCTTGGTGGCACATGCCTGTTATCCCAGTGCTGGGGAGGCTGAAACAGGAGGATCACTATGAGTCTCATCTGCATAGTGAGACCCTGTAACAAACAAATAAATAAATAGATAAATAAATAAATCAGCCTCATAACATAAAACATCTTAAAGGTATAGTTTACTGGCTGCTGAAATTATCTATGCATATAATATTGCAAATATGATCTGGCCTAATCTGTAGAAGTGTTAGTTCTATAAATTCAGTGTTTTTTTTCCCACTCCACTCCTTTGACTCAATGGTTTTTTTTTTCTGGTTTTTCTTTTTCTTTTACTTTGTGGTTTTTTTGTTTCTTCAAAGTTTTATTGATAAACAGATAGCAATGAGACAGTTTCAAATCAAATCGGAAGTACAGTTTCAACAAATAATACACTGCATATATTCTTCCTAGTGGTTAATTGCTGTACAAGATGCAGACTTGTGATCCTATTTACAAACACCATTAGAACAAATCATTCTATTCATTAAGAGAATGCAACTATATATCTATCCCAACCACTTTGAATACACAGATACAAAATGGACATTCATAGTTATACCCCATTTTTTCTAAGTTCCGTTATTGAATATTATAGGTGTGTAAACTCAGCAAAATATTCTAAAAGAGTCCAGTAGCCCATAATAGCATTGGGTCTTCTTTTTAACCGGCAATGTCAGAAATTATTGACCTGAGTCCCCCACAGCTCAACTTAACAGCATGGCTTTATTTCCTATATTTCGTCTTCATACTTTTCTACTGGATGGTTAAGACCAAGGTAAAGCAGGACCTATGCAACAAGAGTTGTAGCTTTTTGTTCTGAGAAGGTCAGTGAAATGCCCTCAGGATTTATCCTGAGATCCTGTACCTCAGATTGTAGAACCTTTGTCAGTACAGCTGACTCAATGATTTTAAAATGAAACCTAAAATATTTGCTCCTTTAGCAGCTGTATCACCCCTCCAACCTGTGTGTGCTTGTATATGCACACACACACACACACACACAACTCTGTTGCCTCTTTCACTGGTAGTTGTTTTTGTTTCATTACCTTGACATGAACAGTTTAAAAGCTCTTTTAAATGAACTCTGAATGAAGATATCTACTGTATTACTTCTTGTACTGGGAGTTAGATGAACCCTAGTTTCTAAGTCTGATCCACATATAAATTGTTCTGTGATCCTGGAAAGGCTTACATCCCACATACTCGTAACGAAGACAGTGGGAAGTTACATGAAATCATACAGAAAGATGTTGCGCCCACTGATTGAAAAGCCAAGAAACCACAATTGACTCAACTGATATGCAAGTGCATGTTGATAAGAACTTTTTCATTATGTATTATAATTTAAATAACTATGGAAGTTAACATTGAGGAACCCCCAAAACTGACCTTTGGACCTTTTCTTCTTTATATACTTTCATTCAGTTTTAGTTTTAAATGTTATGTAGTATTATCTTTCTGTTCAGATCTTCTACATTCAACTGCTCTCTCAGTCTTAGATATTTTATCAGTATCTAAAACCATCCATCCATGTTTGAAAGCTTTTATCCTAAGTCCACCCTTTCCCATCTTTGAGCTATTCCCAACTTCTATAGTCAATTCATTCTTCTAAAATAAATCAGTATGGGCTTCTGTACTCTTTTAGAATATTTTGCTGAGTTTACACACCTATAATATTCAACAACGGAACTTAAAAAAAATTGGGGTATAACTATGAATGTCCATTTTGTATCTGTGTATTCAAAGTGGTTGGGATAGATATATAGTTGCATTCTCTTAATGAATAGAATGATTTTTTCTAATGGTGTTTGTAAGTAGGGTCACAAGTCTGCATCTTGTACAGCAATTAACCACTAAGAAGAATATATGCAGTATATTATTTGTTGAAACTGTACTTTTGATTTGATTTGAAACTGTCTCATTGCTATATGTTTATCAATAAAACTTTGAAAAGAAAAAAAAATAAAATAAATCAGGTTGCTCTTTAGGGTCCTCCTTTCTAAGATGATGAAAAAAAGAAGGAACAACGGTCGTGCCAAAAAGGGCTGCAGTTGGGAGATGGCTCAGTAGAAAAAGCGCTTGTGTGGCAGGCGTCAGGGCCTGAGTTCAATCCCCGGTTCCACCAAAAAAAAAAAAAAAAAGGGCCGCGGTCATGTGCAGCCTATTCGCTGCACAAACTGTGTTCGGTACCTACCCGAGGATAAGGCTATTACCGCCACATCAGGGACATTTCCGAAGCAAGTGTCTTCCACGGTTATGTGCTTCCCAAGCTGTATGTGAAGCTGCATTATTGTGTGAGTTGTGCCATTCACAGCAAAGTGTTCAGAAATCGATCTCGTGAAGCCAGTAAGGACCGAACTCCTCCACCCCGATTTAGACCTGCTGGTGCTGCCCCACGACCTCCACCAAAGCCCATGGAAGGGGAGCTAGGTCTTAATGGACTGAAGAAAACTCTCTTGAGAAAGAAATAATAAATTGAATGTTAACTTTAAAAAATAAAATAAAATAAATCAGGTTAAGCTTTTCCCCTGCTACCACTCAGCACTGGGGATAGAATTCAGGGCCTTACACATGCTAAGCAAGTGGTCTACCACTGAGCCATGCCCCCAACTCTGGAAATATCCTTAATATACCTTACACAGTGTTGATGTTTCTAATATATACAAAAAAGTAAAAGGTTTATGAAAACTGTTTGTGCATGTGTGTATAGTCTTTTATATATTTATATATACTTTCAAAATTATAGTAACCAGTTTGTATTATACTTTCCTGTCCATGGGCATTATTTTACTTAACCTGTTTGGAGGCTTAAATAAGCTGAGTTTTGCCACACTTTCATTTAGGAAACAAGGTTCCTCACCTGAGTTGCAGAATACAGGTAATGATTTAATAAGATGGTACATTACTAATTCCTTTCTAGATGTGTGGGAGAGAAATTCATTATTTACAATAGATGCTTCAAAGCTTTGGCACTTAATTCTAGGGGAACGTAGGTAGTTAATGACTACATTAATACCTAAAATTCTTTTTACAAGAAATAAGCTAAAAACATTTTCTTTAAGCAAAAAGGTCTCAGAAAACAAATGAACAGAAACATCTTTTCTTCAAAGTCAGATCATTCTCAGAGATATGTTTCTGAAAAAGCTGTCTTTGTGGTTAAAGATGAGGAGGGAAGATATAAAGTCCCATATTCATATTTGGTGCTTAGAAAGTTGGAGATATCTTCAAATTTTTATTAACAAAATTCATAATAAAGTTGTGTTGTACTTTACCTTTCTACCTAGAAACCAAACCATTTTTGAGTGTTAGGTCACTTTTTTAATAAGATTTTTTTGGTGGTAGCAAGGGCAAAAGATGAGCTGGAGAAGAGGGTGGTGCTGTTATATTCCACATTTTACACTTGAATAAATTGAAAAAAATGGTCACTTGATCAATTAGAGATGAAGCTAGATCTACTGTAGTAGTTTTTGCTTTTTGTTTTTGTTTTTTGAGACAGGGTCTCTGTATTGTTCAGGTTGGTCTTGAACTCACTTATGTAACCTAGGCTGGCCTTGAATTCAGTGATCCTCCTGCTTCAGCCTCCCAAGTGCTGAGATTACAGGCATGTGCCACCACACCCAGCTGTAATCGTTTATTGATTGTTCATTTTTAGTGAAATTTTGACTCTGGGGTTCAGAGTAGGCTAACAATTCCAAGTACTTTGGAAACTATTCAAACATGTATGTATAAAGGTATTGGGTTTCTCTAAATTTTCATAGGAAGAACCTTAATGTTATCTTAAGTTATTTTCATGACTATGCTACTTTATTTTTAATTTTTGCAGTGCTGGGGATAGAACCCAAGGCACAAATATATAATGTAAAGCATAAAAATAAAACCACATACAAATACTGTATACTGTCACACAGCAGCACAACTGTGACAATGTCTGGCAGACACATGAGCTACTTGCATATTTGTTTCCACTTGCTGTACCTCAACAATTAGACTTTAGTAAGTTTTTGAGATTGTTTTTGTTTGCTTTTTGAGGTAGGGCCTGGTATATGCTAGGAAAGTGCTATCCCACTGACAAATTGTTATATAGCCCTACAGCATTCTGATTTTGCTTCATAACACACATAGCAATTGCATTAGAAAATTAAAAAATAAAAATAAAACCCAAGTGCATTAGAACAAAAACCTCTATATAACACAGGGGAGATGGCTCAGCTATCTAAGTGCCTGCCTAGCAAGTATAAGGACCTGGGTTCAATCCCTGGTACCACATACCATGCAGACCCTATGCCAACCCAGCCACTGAAATGGTTTGGTGGCACACATCTGTAATCCCAGCGCTGGGGAGGCTAAAACAGGATGGGCACTACGAGTCCACGCTGCCTAGCAAGACCATGTACCAGATACATAAATAAATAAATAAATAAATAAGTAAAATACCTAATTAATTTTGTAATTAGTTCTTTTACTTCTGGTTCACCTGCTAAACTGAAAGCTCTGTGAAGGTCAGGATCGTCAATATCTATTCTGTACTCCCAGCACCTAGGCCTTACCTTGTATATAGCAAATATACAATTAAAATTTATTAAATGAACAGCTGCAAGTGTAACTGAACACATGAGTAAGTTAAGAGCCCTATTAGATAGGCTGTGCTGTCATCTCTGCTGTAAACATACAGAAACATGTTTGTAAATAGGATATCATGTCCACATCTTGTACAGCAATTAACCACTAGGAAGAATGTATGCAATGTGTTAATTATTGAAACTGTCCTACCAATTTGGTTTGAAACTGTCTCATTGCTATTTGTTTCTCAATAAAATTATGGGGAAACACACACACACACAGAAACAAGGAGTTGAGGCTTCAACCAAAGTCAGCCTGAGTCCAATATAATATTTAAATGGCTAATGGGGAATATAAAAATCATCATAGATCTCAAAAAAGACTTGAAGTTGCAAAATATTCTAAATGTCAACTTCCTTCAAAGCACTGTATTTGCAAATTTGGCTCAGGATTGGGGAAGTCTATTACCGTTCTTCTCTCAGGTGAAAAAGTATGGTTCCCCTAATCCTCTAACTCCTAAGCTGTATCAGAGTATTGATTAGTGAAACAGATGACTACCCAGAAAGTTGTTGCTAGGCTTTGTTGCCAGAAGTACTTTGATCTTTCACTCACCCTAGGAGGGGGAACCAGAAACTTTTTGTACAGATTAGCTCCTTTGAAGAACAAAAGTCCCTTTGGGGGTTTACTAATTCCCTCACCTCCCCTGGTGCCTGTGTTCATTCTTGTGGCCGCGTGTTAGGACTTTGCTCTAGGGTGGTTTTCCAGTTCCAGAGATCTTCAAGCCCCTGCTGCCCCAGTAGTGTTTAGTGCCATGCTTGATTAACTAGGCAAGGTCAGACTTGCCCTTCACAGCACCCCCAGAGACAGACCCTCTGCTGAGAAATTCCAGAAATGCTTTAATTCTCTAGAAGTAAGTGGATCAAAGCACCATAAACCCTTGGAGCTCTGGCTTTTGCAGCTTTCTCCCTTGAAAGTGATGGCAGGCCAGGTACAGTGGCACATGCCTATTACCATAGAACTCAGGGAAGCTGAGGCAGGAGGATCCCAAGTTTGAGTCTACTTAGTGACTCAGGAAGACCCTCTCTCAAAATAAAAAATAAAAATAAAATGCTAGGAATGTAGCACAGTGTAAAACCTCTTGGTTTAATCCCTAGTTGGTGGGGGGGGGGGGTGAAGAAAGAGATGACAGTACTTCTTATGCCACTAAGAAATATAAAATGCTTTATAGATAGTGCTTTATATTTTCCATTTGCCCCAGAACTATTAGGATTAAGAGGAACTAAACTCTGAAACTTAAATATAAATGAAGGGAGGAAATTATGTCAAGTCATCCAACAAATAATGAGCAACTACGGAATTATATGAAGACTAAAAAACTTTAGCCAGACAGCAATAGCAGCAGCTCCCTGTTGTTCACAATCAGAAGTCTTGAATCTTTCACCCTCAGTATATATTGCTAAATGGATTAGTTATCAGAGCATTTTATTTTACAAAAGAGGATTTGTTCTCTGCTTTGGGAATCTAAAGTACCTAACCCAAGACCTACTGAGACCAGCAAGAATGGACAGCACACTGAATATTTCATTTTCCATGGGTAATTGGGCCTGCAGACATAGTTCACCCTCATCGAGCCAATCTTGAAAAAGAAAGCTCTGTTGTTTCAGACAAATACTTTTTTATGTGTTCTTAATTACTTTCCCATGGATTCCTTATTTTCTAGGTCTTATCTGGTCAGTTATTCTGCTAACACAAAATCACATCAGACATTTAAACAGCAGACAAAGGAGGGTGGCTGGGATCCCAAAGACCTGTAGGTTGATGACCACTGTCTTAGTGTTAGGAACTTTTCATTTTTATTTATTTTGTTTATTTATTTATTTTATTTATTATAGTTTAGGGAAGGGTCTACAAGGTGTTCAGGGTTTCCCTACTAGATCGGATTCATAGTGATCTGCCTATTTACAGCCTCCCAAGAGGTGGGATTACAGGTGCTTGCCACCATCCCCAGTCTTAATTGCTATCTCAGCGTGCCCCAGGGGCTGGGCCTGCATGGCAGGCCTGGAATCAAACTCCCAGCCCCTGCACTTGCTTGCAGGCACTTTAGTCTGCTGAACTATTTAGCCAGCCCTATGTTAGGAACTTTTTAACCTGTAGCTACCATGATGTAACCACTCCTTAAATTTTATTTATTTATTTATTTATTGCATATTCAATAAATGTTCTGAAAATAGTTAGGCATAGATTCCAGCTCAGGGCTATGCAGGGAGCATGTCTTTGCCCACCTCTCTTAGCTTTCCTTTTCTGAACAGTGGTTAGCACTTTCCATAGGAGATACTTGAGACAGCTCCATGGTTCCACTTGATGCTTCTTAGAGGTTTAAATCCATACAGAGCTTCTAACTAGAGAACCCTCAGTTTCCTCCATCGTTTGGAATTTTCACAGAAGTCACTTTTTCCGCTGAGGGTTTTTCTTTCATTATTCTAGCGGCTTCATATACAGATAGCTCTGATGATGAGACATCTCCCAGAGACAAGCAGCAGAAGAACTCGAAGGGAAGCAGTGACTTCTGCGTCAAGAACATCAAGCAGGCGGAGTTTGGACGAAGAGAAATTGAAATTGCTGAACAAGGTAAAGAAAGCAGGCATCTTTTCCTTATGTAGTTGGCCTATGTCTTTTTGTCTGTGTCAATCCCTTTGTATGTCCTGGGTCTGGTAGCTGGTGAAATTTCAGTGTGACACTGAAGAATGTTTATAATAGAAGAATCTGAGCTCAGGAAATACTATAAGGAAATGATGTCTGGTGGTCTAGAAGGAACTCCTAAGCAGCACAAGTGTACAGGACATCAGAACTCTGGAGCTTTTGCCTGAAAAAGCCCCTAATAAAATAAAATCCAAGTCTTCATTCCTTGAGAAACCTAATCCAACAGAGAAGGATCTTAACCAAACAGAATAAGTTTTTCTATTTATTCCTTTATGTCTTATTCCTTCCTTTCTAATAATGTTGTATTTGTATTGGGCCTTTTCAGAAATGCCTGCACTGATGGCTTTGAGGAAGAGAGCTCAAGGAGAAAAGCCTTTGGCTGGAGCCAAAATTGTGGGTTGTACACACATCACTGCTCAGACCGCTGTGAGTCCTTTTCCTTTCTCCCCTTAATAATAATAATTAATAATTACCATCAGATATTGAATACACCAGTATGCCAGCACTCAGTCAATGACTGAAAAATATTGGCTTGATAATCCTCAAAATGCCATGTAAAGCAGGTATGTCTCTTTCCATCTTGTAAATGAGAAAGCTAAAGGTTCAGAGAGCTAAAGTAATTTGTCCAAGGTTACACAGCCCGATGTCACAATGAAGATTTGAAAACCAGTATATCAACTAAGTGAGCACATGCCTTCCTCACTTCCCGTCTTCCTTTTTCCTTCCAGTGTCATTTCTACAAGGCAACCTTACGTGTTAAGCTGCTCTCAGCTGTAAATAAGAGAAAAACCTGATTCCACCATATACATGAAGGAACGTATTACATTACATGGCTAAGAGTCCAGCAGGAAGGCAGGCTTCAGGTGCATTTTCCCTCTCTGACTTCTTAGAGCTGCCTCCTTAGTGTGCTTACTTCATCATCAAGCTGATAGTAAGGTGGTTACAGCTACTCTGATTATCATAAACTAATATGAAAAGGATACATTTCTTTCCCTCTTCTAAGTGAAGAAAAATTTTCCCATATGTTTCTAGGATATTCCTTCATATCTCATTCAGCAGAATTGGATCACATGGCTATGCTCCACCAGTTTTGGCAAGAGGACCAGATTTTCTATAACTGGTTTAGACTAGGTTCCCTAACATTAGGAGATTTACCAACTCCTTTTTATTGAAGGAAAAAAAAAAAAAAAGTACTTTCAGCATTCCTGAACTAATGAAATTGAGGTGGTGATGGTACTGGAGATTGGACCCAGGGCCTTTGCACATCCCCAGACCTTTATTTTATTTTGAGACAGCATCTCAGATAAGCCCCTAAACTTACATATAAACATCCTGCCTCCAGCTCCCAAAGTGCTAGGTGTGCATCACCATATCTGGCTACATGTAACTTTTTTTTTTTTTGGTGGATTTGGGGATTGAACTCACCCTTGTGCTTGCTAGGGAAGCGCTTATTCCACTGAACCATCTCCCTGGGCCCATGTAATTTTTAAAAACTAAACATAAAATCTTAACTAAAATATGAAGGGGGAATAAAAGGAAATAAATTTATTTTCAAAATTTTCAGTATGTAAATGCTTGGGCACAACTATAGTAGAATAGTGAAATGCTTGTCTTTACAGCCTGAAGGAGAATACTATAAAGTGCAAATAGATGAAAATGTGTTATTAGTGCCAGAGTATCAGAGCAGCATTACCAAAGTACATGATTTTCCTAAACATAATAAATGACTCTTAATACTTTTCTGAAGAGCAACCACAATGAAAAATATGAGTTTTCTCTTGATTTGTACAATTGTTGCATTCCTGGAAAAACTTTATTCTGTATTTTTTAAGCTATAAAAATAATTTTATTAATGTGCAAGGTAGAATTAGATGCTAAACTTAGATAATTATAAATTTTTCACCCATGTGAGCTTCCATTAGGACATCAGAAAATTACAGCAAATTGGCATAGTTTAGCTATACTATATTTTCAGAATATCTAGATCCCTAGCCTTCCCCATTAAATGCCAATAGCACATACCTAGTCATTATGATAAACAAAAATATCCCCTATACTGCTCCAAAGCTCACCCCCTGCCCCTAATACTAGGGTTTGAACCCAGGGCCTTAGCACTGAGTTGCATCCTCAGTCTTTTTCAAATGGGACCTCACTAAGTGGCTGAGTTGCCTATGCTGGGCTGGAACATGTGATCCTCCTCCCTTAGCCTCCCAGAGTGCTGGCTTTACAAATATGCACCCCCATCTCCTTTTTCGAGTCATCATCAATGATGTGAAATTGAATTGCTTGGCATATTAAGACTCCTCTAGGGAACTGGTATATTAAAAAATGGTCTGAAATCTTTTATGGGATTTGTAAGATCTGAGTCATCTGTGTGGCTAGATCATCTTTCAGAAGATTGTCTGTCTCTCCTGACTCACATTATGTGGTCACACTCCTACTTAAGGACAGTAGAGATTCCTGGAGAAATGGATAGCTTTGGTCATTATTCTTGAGACTTTTTGGTTATATGTTTGCTGAGGAAAAAAGTACCTAGGCTGCCCAAAATTGATAGAATAAATTGAAACACTGTCTCATTTGGAGCTACAAACTAATGAATCAAAGTAGAAACAGTCTTGAAACCTTTTTTGGTCCTACTCAGTCAGGGGTATGAGACTTGAGTGTGGTAGCTTAAAATAGTGAGTGTTTTTCTGCTGTCTCATGTTGCCAAGTTATATCTAATTGGTTTTCACCCCCAGGCTCATTGAACATTTCTACCCTTGAGGTCTCTCCATTTTTTTGTGAATGAATTAACTGCTATCAAGTTTAATGTTTTTACCCTACAGTTTTTCCTTTTTCCTTAAAAAAAAATTGCAAAAGTATTTTGCTTTCTTCTATTTTAGTCTCTATTTTTTATTTTTTTCTTTACATGTTCATATTCATTTTATAGTATTCAAACATCACTACTACATATAAGGTAGAAAGATAAAGTCTCAATAATCCCATGCTCAGGAAATACCTATCATGATTAATAGTTACCTGTCCATGTTTCTACCAAATATGAATGGTTCTTCTAATCTGATTTTATTGCTGCTCCTTCAAAATGATGACTTGAGGTCAAGTTAAATGAGCTTCTGAGCTCTATCCTCTCCTGCCTGCCTTCACTGGTTTTAGGGCCCTAATAGCCACCAGTCTTGGCTCACAGCTTTTCTGGTTGGTTTGTTTGCAATATTAGGGATTGAACCCAGGGCCTTCACACTAAACTACATGTCCAGCCCTTTTTTAATTACTTGTTTTAATTTTAAGACAGGATCTCATTAAGTCACTAAGTTGCCCAAACTGGGTTCAAATTTGTGGTCCTCCTGCCTCAGCCACCCAGAGTTCTAGTTAGCGGTGTGTGCCACCAAGTTTGGCTTTGACTCAAAATATTCTTAATTCAATCACTTTATTTCTAATGTATTTATATTGCTTTATAGGTGTCTTCATATCATTCTTTTAACAAATACAAGAGTCCTAATTGTAGGAATTCAAAAGATCTTTTGTTTTGTTTTGTTCTTTTTTTGATACAAGGTCTTGTTGTATAGTCCAGGCTGGCCTTGAACTTGTGATCCTCCTGGCTTGACCTCCCAAATGCAGGGTTGATACCTGTGCACCATAACTCTCAGCAAGGAATTGAAAAAAAAATTTTTCAATAAGGTTAAATGAGATAAAATATTGAACATTAATAGGAGCTAGGAATAGTTTTTCTGATAACTGAGTGTATGACATTAGCCAAATTAAGTTGGTAGAGTTGTTTGTGTTTTTAAAAATTAGAATGTTTTAATAAGAATTTTAATTTAGAAAATACCATTTTTACTAGAGATTCCTAAAATTCATTTGAAACCAGAAGAGACCTGGAATAGTAAAAGCAATTCTGGGAAACAAAGGCAAGGCAAGAGGCATCACAATATCTGACCTGAAATTATACTACAAAGCTTCTGTGATCAACATAGTATGGCAAAAGAAAAAGCAGACCTGAAATTCAGTCAAACAGAACAGAAAATAGAGAAACAACTCCAAACACACTTACCCACTTTATCTTTGACAAAAGAGCCAAACATGTTCGCTGGAAAAAAGATAATTTCTTTAATAAATGGTGCTGGAAAAACTGACTTTCTGCATGTCAAACACTTAAACTAGACCCATGTATATCACCATGTACTAAACTAAAGTCAAAATGGACCAAACATCTAAATATTCAAACTAATACTAAATTTACTGGAAGAAAAAATAAGTGGAAATATTGGAGACATAGGTGTAGGCAGAGACTTCATAAACAAAACCCAACCACATGGGGAAATACCACAAAGAATCAACAAATGGGATCTCACCTTATTAAAAAGCTTTTATACACAAAAGAAATCATCAATAGAGTGCAAACACAACCCACAGAGTTGGAAAAAATTATAGCCAGTTATCCCTTAGACAAAGGACTTATATCTACAACATATAAAGAATTGAAAAGAATCAGGCTCCCAAAATTTGAAGACCCAATACAACAATGGGCTTCTGGCTGGGTATAGTGGCATACACCTGTAATCCCACTGCTCAGGAAGCTGAAGCTGGAGGATCGTTGTAAGTTCAAGACGAACCCGGGCTACAAAGTGAGCTCAAAGCCAGCCTGAACTGTATAGCGAGACCCTGCCATAAGAAAGACAGCGGACTAAAGTGCCTGCTTAAGCAGACTAAAGCACCTGCTTAGGCAGAGCACAGTGGCAGGGTTTGATCCCTGGCTTGCAGTGCCAGCCCTACCCTCAGGGCACACTGAGATGGAGACTGGTAGTGGTGGTGCACACCTGTAATCTCAGCACTTGAGAGGATGAAAACAGGAGAATCACTATGAGTCTATGTGATTCCCCTGTAGACCCTGTACCAGAGAGAGAGAGAGAGAGAGAGAGAGAGAGAGAGAGAGAGAGAGAGAGAGACACAGAGAGACAGAGACAGAGAGACAGAGAGAGCACGTGCATCTGCAGTAAATACAGGATTCTCTAATAAAAAAATACAAATAGCAAATGATTATGTGAAAAAATGTTCAGTATCATTGGTCATTTGGGAGATGATGCAAGTTAAGACAAGACTGGAATTCCACCTCCACAAAGAATGGTTATCATCAAGAAATCAACCAACAAACAACAAATACTGGTGGGGCTGTAGAGGAAAAGAAACCTTTCTCCACTGTGGGTAGGAATGTAACTGCTGCAACTACTATGGACAATAGTGTAGAGATTTCTTTAAAAACTAGGATTAGAGGTCCGATTCGACCCAACCATTCCCCTTCTGGGTATTTTTCCAACAAAACTGAAAACATCGTGTGAACCCATGTTTATAGCAGCAGAATTTGTAATAGCTAAATTTTGGAAACAAATGTCCATTAGCCAAAGAACGGATAAAAAAGATGTGTTTTGTTTTGTTTTTTAATATAATGGAGTACTACCTAGCCATAAAGGAAGATAATCTTAACACTTTTATAGGTAAATGGATGCAACTCAAGACCATACTCATAAGTGAAATAAATCAGACCCACATGTGTAAATATTATATTCTCAGTAGTATACATATATACATACATATTCATACATATATATATATATATATATATGATAGTTATAGAGCTAGTTTCTCTTAGTTCATTGAAAAGAAAGGTTTGTGTTAATATTATTTGGACAGTATTTTATAGCTATATCTTATACTCTGCATACCTATGTAACAATATACAATGCATTATTATTACTGTCCTACTAGCCTGTTTTGAAACTTTCTTACTGTTATTTTTTTCCATAATTTTATTGATAAAGAGCAATGAGACAGCTTCAAATCAAATTGGTAGGACAGTTTCAATAATTAACACATTGCATACATTCTTCCTAGTTGTTAATTGCTCTACAAGATACAGACATGATATCCTATTTACAAACACCATTAGAACAAATCACTATTCATTAAGGGAATGTAACTATATCTATCCTAACCACTTTGAATACACAGATACAAAATGGACATTCATCTGTATCCCCTTTTTTTTTGT